GTGTGTGTGTGCGCGTGCCTGAGCTCTGGCTCTGCCACCTTCTTGTGGAAATGCACGTTAATCTTGCTGACTTGACTTGTAAAAAGCAGATAAATTTACCCATTATTTAAATGGCAAAATATTTTCTGCTCCAGATGACATTCTGGATCTCCCACCCGTAACCACTGTAGGAAGCATTGCAGGAGATGTCTGTCTGGCGGAAGGGAGATATTGGGAACTCTCGTGTAGCTCAGGGCTGTGGCTCCGATCAGCCATTAACAGTGTCAAGGATTGGGCCGTCACATGGAAATTCCCGCAAGCTCGGACACGGAAACACCTTTGCCAGGATCACTGCCGTGGTAATCCAGGGGCTACAAAYAGTCTTTTATCCTGCAAAGCTCCTTCGATTTCCACAGCGCTTCAAGCTGAAATCACCCTATGTTGGGGGTGAGCAAACGGGTGGAGACAAGCACGGCCTCAGCTCGCTGTGCCGACCCCGAGCCCACAGGGCGGAGCTGCGGAGAGCGKGCAGCGCCCCCTGGCGATCGAGGCCCCGGCAGTCTCGCGAGATCGGGCGCGCTGCGCGCGCCGGGCGGGGGCGGTGCTGGGCGGGGKCGCGCCATCTTGTTCCTGTGCGAGGCGGCGGGGCCCGGCAGCGATCTCGCTGCGGGAGCGTCAGGGGCAGTGCCCGCCGCCACCGCGGGGCGCGGCATGGATGCCCACTACTACGGCGGGGAGCAGTCAGGTAGCGGCGCGGGGCGCGGAAYCCTCCGGGGAGGGCATCGGGCACGGCGGGGCCCAGGGTTCGGGGAGACAGCGGCGGGGCCTTGGCCTGAGGGCAGCACGGCGTTAATTGCTTCAGTACTCCGGTGTCTGGGCAGTGTATCAGTTGCTACCCGCRTGGTATAGGAGGTTTTGTGCACTCTCCGGGGTTGTTTGGTGTAGTTTTTTTTTCGGATAGCTGCGTTTCCCTGCCCCGTTGGGAGCGGGAGCCCGCCCGGTTCCTGTGCGGTTCCTTTAAACGGTGAGTTTTACTTTCTTTTTCTTATCTCTTGACAGATGATGGAGGAGCTACTCCAGTGCAAGACGAGCGAGACTCAGGATCTGATGTGGAAGATGAAGGAAACGAGCAGCATTCTGGATCGGACAATGGAAGTGTAGGGCACCATTCGGAGGTACTACGGGACCTTTGTCTAGATAAAGTTTGTTCTTCTCTGAATTCCTTTTTGTTGTTGTTTAAAGTGGCATACTCTCTTAACCGAGGCATGCATGTTTATTCAGTTCTTCTTACGGGTCCCATCGGGCAAAACTTTACCTCCGTAAAAAACACTGGATAGTCTATACATAGGTATGTTGGCTAAGGTTTTCAAAATTTTTTCTTTTTAATTGGTACAGTAGCACACAATGTTTTGTACTTGAATAAGTTGTACTCGATTAGCCTTGATTTCACAAAGATAAAATTTCGGGGTTTGAAACTTTGAGCAATAGATKATGAGGAATTTGAGGTTGTACCAGAAATTCTGCGCAGTGATGTAAAACCACATGCTTTGGAGGTGCAGATTTCCTTGCATAGGAATAGAGAATAAATGCTCTACTTGCTACTATGTCAGATGGAAGCACTCTGCCAGATGGGGCCACTGACTGGTGAGTCTGCTTTGTGGTGGATTTCAGGTTGTCATTGACAAAGGAGTAGGTATGCACGTGGAACAGGTTTAAGATTCCTAAAAGGGACCTGTTCCTCTTCTGAAGTGGTTCCCACTTGGAGAAGCATTCATCATGGAAAGACTTTGATCCAGGGCTGTATCTAGGGCAGAGTCACTTTATTTGTGTTTTGACTGGACTGAGAGATTCTGGTAAAAGAGAAGGCTCTCTTTAGACTTCTAGGACAGTTTGGGAGTTAAGATTTAATTTTTAAGAATTATGACTCATGGTAGTTACATTGGTTCTTAGTAGGAAGGAGTAATTTTGGCCTGTCAACTTGGGTCTTCTGCCAGCAAAGTTACAGAGAACTTTTTGATACTCATACAAATTGAAGTCAAAGCCATTTCATAGTGTTTGCATACTTTACTGTATTTTATGTAAAGATGAGGATTTACACTGACTGGGTTTTCAGTGTTACACCTTTTCGAAATTGCATAAAATGCAACATAGGCTGATGTGAGAGAAGGCTTAACTCCACTGTGGCTTAACTTGCAATCCCTTTTTTTGTTCTCTTCTTTCTTTGTCCCACCTTTATTGAATTCATACTTCCCTCAGAGTTAGAAAGGGGATAAAGATTTTATATTTGTATAATGTGAAAGTTCTTCCCATTATTTGGACTTAACCGTAAAGCACATTTGGATTTTTTTTTCTTGAAGGGTGCTATTTACAAGGGAAGAAATAGATTTGGTGTGAGACAGCATCTTCCATCGTGATAATTTACAATTTCAGTGTGGCAGGAAACATATTTCTCAGACTGAGGGAAATAACTATCTGTCAGGAGGAATTTAATACTTATGTTTTTTRATGAAAGAACAGTGTGATGAGTTTGTGAAGAGACATGGTGCTGCTACCACGGTGCTTTAATAACATTAAACCTTTTCTGCTATGTACAAAAGCTTGATCATTGGTTCTTACTTTTCTGTGCTTCTCTGAGATATATAAATTTTTCTTACTGTGGCAAGGTACTTGACTGCTGTTTACATCTGCAGCATGTCTTTTTCAAATTTGGTAAACAGGAAGTATCAGTTATTGCTAACTGATCCTCTTCTTAGGCTGCATTATTTTATGGGCTTTGTTCTGTGATGATGGTTGAATATTSCTCTATAGAGAAAATACTTCAGAAAGTTAATTAAAAGAAAAGAGTCAAGCTAAGCCACCTTTCTGATCAGTACTAAATGTGAACTGTCATGCCTTGATGCTTTATTTGATTCAGCTCAAATCCAGTATTTGAATAATTTGTTTTGCTATGAAGTCTTAATTTTTTGTTCAAGTCCACTTTACACTCAAAAGGCAATAATGTGGAGCAGCCATTTCTGAAAGGAGTAGCTTTCAGTCTTTTGTTGTATTATTTACTCTAAATATTCTCTCATCCTCCTGTTTTCTTCATCTGTAGGAATATGTGGGAGAAATTACACTCAAAGGTAGTAAAACCTTTGAGACAGCCTAATCACTTAAGTCTGTTTAATTATTATTTCGTCTCTAATTTAGAACTCAGATGTAAAGGACCGAAGTTTTAAATTTTCAAACTTTTCTTTCAGSTTCTTAACTTTAAAGAAAAGGGGAATCCTGAGGAATTACTTATGTAGGTCTCAGGTATGTGGGTTTTTCTTTTCCACAATTCTTTTCTGGCTTTCCTTCCCCCAGTCCCACTTTATCTATAAATGTTCTCTTTGATGTCCTTACTGATTCTGCTTTAGACAATTAGAATTAGTTTTAGTACAGTAACGAATCTGAAATCATGTTTACAGTGTTTGTCCAAGTCAGGCTCATACAGAAATCYGTAATAACTTAGTTCTTACGCTTCCACCCAGTTGCTGCTGTTTCATGAATTGAGTTCTGGTTAGACTGTGACTGTTAACAAACACAGATATGTGACGCTTCTGAAAAAAGGAAGAACTTGCTGATCTGCCCATGATGGCTATGTAGGTCTTAGCTTAACAGTCATTTGTCATGATATTATAGTGGATGGGTTCAATTTTGTCGAAGTTACTAAATTACCGAAGAAGTAGCCTCTGAAAGTGGCTGCATGTTGATCCAAGAAACTGCTTAGTAGCCGAAATTTGTATGTAGAAACGTAACACTGTAAATTTGATTTTGTGTATTCCTCATTTTATACTGTACTAAAGCCTCATATTATAGAATTTTTTAATTAAAAAAATAAAGGACATCTCAATTAAAATGTTTATAGATAAAGAGGAGGAAGAAAAGAAAGCAAAGGAATTAGAGAAAAATAAAGTAGCAATTACCTGAGACCTACTCCATTTTGAAGATGTCTGATCTTTCAGTTAAGTGTTTGGAAAAGGAAAACTAGAAAACTCAAAAATTACATGCTTTATTTCCTTGAAAGCACTTTTTTAGAGATGAACTAATAAATTTTAAAAAGGAAGGTGAAGATTATCAAACATATCCAACAATGTTTAGTTATTTTACTCTGAAGTTGGTACACTTTTTGTGTCAGTTATATTCTGAAACATGCAGATTCATTAATTGTATACAGAAGCCTTTTGTGCTGCAGGCTGTGGGCAGGTCCTGCCCTGTGCAGGGTCTCAGCTCTGCTGCAGAAGGTGCTCAGGGATGCTGGGTGGGGGCTCTAGGGCAGTGCTGCRCTTAGACACAGTAGTGCTGCCTTGCTCAGCGTTCCATACGGGTGTAAAGGACGTGGTGCCTGTGTGCCAGGGTGTGCTGGGGCACCTGTATTACTTTGGGTGCTGCTTCTCCAGGTGGTCACACTGCAGCAGTTGAGCTKCTGTGACCACTGGGTTAGCTTGCCAGCTGTGTGTCTGCTCTCCCTCCCCAAACATTTTCATTCTCAGGAGTGATTGTCAGTTTGCAGTAACAGGTGAAAGGTTCAGGATCTTGTCAAGTGCTTCAGTAATAATGCTCTATAATTACAGTGTCTCTCACCAAGCTTTTGCATAAGAARTTCTTTGTAATTTAGTGATGAATTCTGAACAGGTGCATATATAACCTGCAGCCACACTTCTGACCTTAGAAATAGCAAGAATCATTATTGATTCTAGTTGATTCTTAATTTTGTTTATTTATTCACTCACCAAAGAATTTCTAAACTGGAAACTGGGAAGGTGATGATCCGAGTATCTTAAAGAGGAGTATTTTTATGAATTTCCTTATGTCAGCAGTAATAAGGGATTTTGTTAAACATAATTATCAGTACTATTCAGCATTCACCATCTGACATTGAGAGAAGACAGACAAACCCACAAAAAATAAAATGGTAGAAAAACAATTCAGTAATTTTTTTTACTGTAGATACCAATTTCATTTCAGTGCTTCTCAATGACCTTACTTGTAACTGCTGTGGAGTCTGCTTTCTCTTCTGTTTGCAGCTGCAGTTTTGTTTAATCTAAAGTAATACAGTCAGGGAAGATCTGTCATGTACCATCTGTGATTGGTTTATGTGAGACATACCAGGCTGGAGAGGGCAATCAAAGTGATTTTTTGGTAAGGGGGGAAAAAAATAATAAATAACAAGCTGACAACAGTTGAGTGTGCATCCTCAATTCAGTCACTTCCTAATATTCATATTTAATTCTTTAAAATTCCAAATTCAGGTTTTAATAGAGTCACGTTTCCTTTCTGTGAGGAAAATGAGAACTACTGGATACCAGCAGCAGGATGCAAAAGATGCATTGCTGTAGAGACAGGAACAAGCAGTGGAGAGAAAACAACTCAGATTGTCACAGCAGCTGTTTGTAGTTAGCATTAAGTAACATGGAATTAGTGAAGTAGTATTTGAAGTGCATGTTTTAAAATTGCRTAGTCCTGGGTTTCTTTTCATTGTTCAGTAACTTCGTTAATCATTCTGCAGTAATTTAGAAGCTCTTTATCAAGTGCTAGCCAAGGGAATAAATATATAAGGTCCAAAGTCTAAAAAGCAATGCTCTTTGCCACTTAGAATAATTGTGCAGAGAGTGGTTCCTAAAAGCAATTGARATTAATTTTATTTAAAATTCCTCCTGCATCATGCAATTTAAAGATTAATAGTGTTCTTTGTAAGATAGCTACACCKATTTTTTATGGCTCTGAATGTGGCAGTAGAGTGACTACAGAAAATAAAAATAGRATAAAAAACCTGTTTCCAAGGAAATTAAATTGCAGAAAAAAGAGATATGGAAACTTCTGGATGTATAACTCTTAAAGTATCTCCTAGCAGAATAAATACTCAGTCTGCAAGTTGAAGTTTATAGTTGAGACAAAATGACTGAATAAAGCCTGGCTGAGGAGGTGAGTTGAGAATGCAGAAGAGGAGTTCCTTTTCAGTTGAAAAGAGGATTATGGTGACAGTAACTGTGAGATCTGAGTTAGTGAAGTGAATGTTCAAAAATCTAGTTTCATATTCTCAGGCAAATGCAATTGAGATTTTTTTCCAAGTAGAAATTAGATGTAGGAAAGATAAAAGATGRTGCTGTCAATAATTATACTTAGCAAGGTGGCTTGCAAGAGGTTCTTCTAAAAATGGAACATGTCGCTCAGTATTTTTTGCTGTGCAGAAAAGTCAAAGGATTGTTTCAGTTCTGAGGTTGTCAGATGGGTGKTTGTGTATGCTTTATCTTGACTGTCTGGATAAGCATGGAAGCTGTCAGCATAGGGCAGAGAAGTCCTCGATCTGTTCTTGCACATGGCAAAAAACTTGTTAAAGCTAATGCTCTGAAAGGTCTGACTAAAACTTTATTCCTGTTTTTTGGTAGTCTTTTGGTCTTGATGTGTTTTTAAAAAGGTTTCCTGAACAAAGAAGGAGCAGGCGCTAGCTTGACTTGGAGCGTAATGCATGTGCTGTTTCAATAAGATGTATTTCACATAGAAAACATCTGTTTGAGGTCTTGAGGAAAAAAAAATGACAAATGCAAGATACTCTTCCTGACTTTGTTACTGGGAAATTCAACTAAACCACTTTGAAGACCTGATGTATTAAAATAAAAGTACTAAGCCTTTATCCTTGAGCAAATGGACCCTTCTTAGACATTCTCGTTCAAGTGTTTTATGAATTCTGTCACCATTTTCAAAATACCATGGAACTGCAGGATGGACATACTTCTGTTCAGCTCTAAATACTTTTCTTGATGTGAAGTATTTGATAGTCATTTGATGCAAATTGTGTAATTTATTTCAGTTTGCATCACCTTGGGTAATCAAATTGGAGGAAGGACAAGCAAAAATTCAGAATGTTTTTTCTTTACTTTTCAAGATGTTTCTGCTTAGTTGCCTGAGATTATTTTTCTGTTTCAGAATGAACAGAGTGATGGAGAAGATGATGGGCAAGTGGGACAGGCTCATACGACAGACTCTGAAAATGAAGATATCCCAAGGCAAAAAGACAGTGACTCAGATAATGAGGATCCCCCAAATCACAATGTAAGTGATTCAGAAAATGAAGCAACTCATGGAGGGAAAGACAGTGATTCTGATACTGAGGACCATCCAAACCAGCATTTAACTGACTCTGAAAATGAGGAGGCCTTAAATCATCGAGCGAGTGACTCTGACAATGGAGAACCTTCCAGGGATCACAGCAGTGATTTTGAAAATGAGGAATCACACAAGCARCCAGCCAGTGACTCYGAGAGCGAGGAGCTCCAGAAGCAGCCAGCCAGTGATTCTGAGAGYGAGGAGCTCCAGAAGCAGCCAGCCACTGACTCAGAGAGTGAGGATGTCTCCAGACACAAGCAGATAGAGTCTGAGGATAGCGATGGGGACGACAGGAAGGAAGAGGTGCAGAATGACTCTCATCATTCAGATAATGAACATGTAAGGGAAGGATTTCAGGGCTCTGACAGTGAAGATGAAGCTCCCAAGGGACGTAAAGTATCAGATAGTGATGAAGACGAGAAAGAGGGAGAGAAGACGGTGAAGAGGAAAACAGCCATCCTTTCTGACAGTGAGGATGACAGTGAGAAAACACGTAAGAAATTATACTTTGAAAATGTGCTGTGATGGGCATTGGTGTGAAAGTTAAGTCATTGCTTTTATGTAAATAAAGCATCTAAGTGAGAAAACTTAGATTTTGTTTTGGAGCAGAACTGCTTTTGTAGAGGCYATTGTTCTAAATGCTTTGCTGTGTGAATGTGTAATACTTCTGAGTAAAAAATAGGTCTAACAGAAGACTGTAGGGATTTTACTAGCATCTGTTGACATGGTAGTTATTTCTCTACTTTGTTGCCGTGTCTCTAGCAATTTTTATCCTGTGGGGTTTTTTTCATATACTGGGGATGAGAGATTTGACATTACGATTTTCTTTATGGGTAGATGTGATGTATGGAAGCTCCAGTTGCTGGTTTCATAAAACACTTTAGAATGGATATGCAGTTTAAGAAATGGCAATGATCTGGTATAGAAAGACTAGTCAGAGAATTTTTTGAGAGTAACAGTTGTCCCCTCTGTTASTGGGACATGTAGTAATGCTCCTTTCTGCTGGCAGCTGCAAAAAAGGTACGAGTCCTTTCTGATGCTGAAGAATCGGATAGCGACGCTGTTTCGGAGAAATCTGACAAAAGGAAGAAAAACATTGTATCTGATAGTGAGGAGGAAGAAGAGGGAAAAGAGAATGCTGGGAAGAAAAAAGAGAAAGATCTGTTTGGCAGTGACAGTGAATCTGGAAATGAACAAGAGTAAGTRGGAAAGAATATGAATTCTTTTGGGATTGCAGACAGTGGACGTGATGGTGAATGGAAAATGGATAAACCCCAACCAGAGAATGACTGTTCACGTTTATTGGTGGCATGAAGAGGAAGGTCAGGAGTATGAGACAGAATGAAAGGGGGTTCTTCACACAGTCATTAGATTTTGCAGAAAAGGCTATCTCATTGTTGCAGTCCAAATAGATAAATGTYGTTGTTACCTTCACAGGAACCTGATTGCAGATATATTTGGAGAATCTGGTGATGAGGAAGAGGAGGAATTTACGGTAAGTGTCATTGTGGATGTCTCCTTCACTTGCCAGATCTGAAAAGAATGTATATGCTGCATCAGGTCAGTTTCAAATTTGCCAACTGACGTAGTGTTTGGGTTAAATGACATTTACAGCTCACCTTTTGGGAGAGYTGTTGGTGTGACAGTCACAGGGGGAATTAAAAGGACTCTCTTACTCTTTCTAGATCCTCTGGACTTAAATGAAGCTTTTTTAGTGTCAGGTACCTGAGTAGATGCTCAATCTTAATCCATACTCTGATTTGCACTGTCTTTACCCATCAGGGTTTTAACCAGGAGGATTTGGAAGAAGAGAAGGGTGATGGAGACATGAAGGAGACAGCAGATGAATCGGACTCAGATGATAACATCAAAAGAGGGAAGCAGTAAGTCAGTGTGTTATTTACTCCTTTCTTAATGCCAGATTTTGGTGAAAGGGCAATATCCAYACTGGATATTACAGGTGTGCACATGTTGGGTATTATAGCAAGGTCTGAAAGCCTTTGGGAGCCATTGGAGCTGTTTGCTAGTTTTGCATTTTTGCAAACTGCAACTGAAGATAACTAATTAGCTCACAGGGACCTTGAGACACACTGTTTGTACGCTACAGAAACACAAAATTATTTCCTACTGAGGACCATCAGCAAATGCTATGTTTTTCAGCATGGACTTYATGTCAGATTTCGACATGATGCTTCAGCGGAAGAAGAGCATGAGTGGCAAGCGTAGGCGGAACCGTGATGGGGGAACTTTTATCAGTGATGCAGATGAYGTGGTCAGTGCCATGATTGTGAAGATGAATGAAGCTGCTGAGGTGAGTTTTCCAGGCTCCAAAGASACCTTAAAATTCAGTTCCATTCTGTGGGAGAATCTTGTGAGTAACAAAATACAAAAATATGGCTTGTATTCAGGAAGAGTAATCTGTGCTCTCAGGAAAGCTTCTAATGTCTGTATAACCATTTAAGTGTTATTTTGCTGTTCTAAATGAAAACATCTGTTCTGTTGAAAATACTGATTTAAAAAACTAGAATTAGTTAAATTGCTAAACTTTGATCAGCTGAGATCAACTTCTTTAAAAAGGGATCTATAGGTGCTGTATGAACTACCTAGAAGTTTATTAAATACTGAGAAAGGGACTATGCTTTAACTTTGTTATACTGTTATGTCATGTGTCATACTTTGGTATTCGTTTTTGAGTAGAGCCCTTTGCAAAGTGAAATGATAGTGCTGTGGTAATGATGTCCGAATAACAGATTCATTGGCCATTCTGCCTTGGCAGTCTGCCTTTTTCAAGGAGAAATGTTGACTATATTACTGTATAAGGTTTACTGGGCTCTTGCCTTTTGTCAGATGTCTTCTGTTTTGTTGGAATAGTAATCAGATGAATAAACAGCACAGCGAAACACACTAAAATAAATTGAGGGATATACARGACTTTAGAAAGAGAAGCTTTACAAATAGCAACAAGAAAAAAAAAATCTTCCTGAGGACACAAGCAGAAGGATAATGAGTTCAGAAAGATGGAGAGAGTGAGAAAGCAATCTGAAAGGCAGTTGAAACTTCCTTGGGCTTGACTGGAAAGCTTCTCTTGGACAAGATGACAGCCACATACTTTAAGTAAGGTGGTAAAGTTTGAAATAYAGGGGCAGGAAGAGGGGAAATGGCGCATTAGAAGAACCTCCTACCTTGCAATAAAAAAAAAATCACACAGAAAGAGCCTTTAGTGGATTAGGACGAGCAGAATGGAATTACCACAGCAGGACAGAAATCGTTGATTGCAATGGGTGCAATTTTTGATATTGCAATTGCAATTTTTGATATGGGAGGCATGTAGTGAACAGATATGGACAGGCTTTGGATGAAAGAAATTTTGAAATTGCAGAGGTGAAAATACATGTTCTTCCTTCCCATTGTTCTGGTTAGCTATTTTCTTGTTTTTCAGGTGAGGCTGTACTAACAAAGTGTTGAGTTATCTGTGCACAGACAGAATAGAGGACTCTACAGACCTCCAGTTATTGTAGTCAATCTAAGTCATGAAGTGGAAAAAAAAATGTAAATCTAGGGGCACTTTCCTAAAGGGATGCTYTTATGGGAAATACTGACTAAAGTGATGACTTTTTGGAGAAATTGTTGCATAGTTGGTTTTGAGCTGTGGGAGGGTGGAGCATGGAGCAAAGTTGGTGTAATCCTTCCAAAGTTGCACTTGTAGTTTAATAGAGTATAGTCTTTTTCTTGTAAGTGTTGCAAAGAATGAGAGATGCTGATTTTTTTCTTAGATTAACTTGTGCTAATTGTTCCAGGAGGATCGTCAGCTGAATACACAAAAGAAACCAGCACTGAAGAAATTAACTTTGCTACCAACTGTAGTTATGCATCTTAAAAAGTGAGTTGTCATTCTTTCAGTTAACTGTAACCTTGGGGAATTGTCAGAATTCGTAAGATTTTGTGGAGTTACACTACTGCTATATAGAATATGCAGTAAAATACTTTTTTGTTCCAAGTAAATGCTGAAGCTAGGTGACCTCAAAAACCTATAATTGCACATAATTTTGCCTGTTAATGTAACATGAAACAAACTCAAATACACTATTTTCCTGAAGGAAYGTCACATCTTAGATTTTGCTTTTGCTGTATTACGTGATTTTGGGACTTCTCTTTAAACCATTTAGGCAGGATCTCAAAGAAACTTTCATCGATAGTGGTGTTATGTCTGCCATCAAAGAGTGGCTTTCTCCTCTTCCAGACCGAAGTCTGCCAGCACTTAAGATAAGGGAGGAGCTTCTGAAGATCCTGCAAGAGGTTTGGAACTGACTTTTAACACATTTTGATTTGTGGCTTCTCCATGGTTTTACAATCATGTACTTTAGGGAAATGTTTGGTGATAAATGAACTGCAGCTGCTACCTGCAGCTGTACAGTGAAGCACATAAGGAAGCAACCTGCACAATATATGTGTTTGTGTGAAAGAATTTAGATTATTTGGCTCTGCCTGCCTGTTTCAGGTTTATATGCGAAGTTTAGTGAAGAGTTAGTTGCTCTGCATTCCTGAATTTTACTCTTTTGTGGTCCCTTCTTTTTTCCAGTCTGGTAAAGTGTGCAGTGCACAGGAAGGCACTTCACACTCAGAGTAGGCTTTCAGTGTCTGTAGCTAAGCTGATTGCTTCAGTGTCTTTGCAACGTAAGTTTTTATCTTTATAGAATGAATTATTTGAAGGCAGCAACACGGTTTTGGGGTAATATAAGCTAAAGAGCATTTGGAGCAAAWAGTTCTGGAAACTTACTTAATTTTGTGTATAAATCAAAGAATGTTAAGGCAAATTTCTAGATTTTGGTGTTTGATACTTTAAATAATTCATAGTGGGACAATGAAAAACTAATTTTAAATGAAAGGTGAGTTTTGGTCTTTTTGCAAAGTTCAGTGACACCATTCATGTTCAGGCATAATTTACTGCTGTTCTCTGACTTTCCTTTACTCTGCAGCTGCCCAGTGTGAGCCAAGAGACCCTAAAGCACAGTGGCATTGGACGGGCTGTGATGTATCTGTACAAACACCCCAAGGAGTCGAGACCAAACAAGGACATGGCTGGGAAGCTGATCAGTATGTAAACCTGCCTACTGCACCTTGTCTGAGATTCCAGTGATGATCAGTGAAATTTTTGCATCAGTCTCTGATGCACTACCATTCTCTGTAGAATAGATTCTGCTGTGTAGGAACGCACTGATCTGCTCCATCATTTTGTAGAGCCCTTAACAAACACTGTTACTTTAACTTCTGAATGCACCTGTTCCATTCTTGTCTTAAATCAGAAGATGGCATTTGTTTTGCCACAGTTTGCTTTTGGCTTATTGTCCAGATCTCGTGTATATACTGCAAAGGCAGGAACATGCTACCAGAGGTCTGTTTATTCCATGGACTTTAGAGAGAACTTGGCTGACTGAGTGTTTACTACTCAACCAGCTATACTCCATGTGGAGTGCATTCCATCCAGAATGGCTGCAGACTGATGATAAATTTAAGTTATTTTGCAACTCTTCTGCATATTTCTAAAATAGTATTCCTATGGTGTGCAGGAGCTCCTGTCACTGAGTATTCTGAGAACTTGGAGACATTCTAAAAGAAMAGGCAACAAAGAGACTTTGGGGATGAAAGCTCTTGCTTTCTGTTCACAAGGCTGGTTTTCTGTTAAATACTAAGGGCTCAGAAATCATTTGGTTGAAGGGAACTGTAAATACCTGCCACAAACTTTCAAAGCTGTACTTGTTCACCAGAGTGTTTTGAGAGAAACAAAGGCCTGGCCTGTGTTAACTGCATATTTTTTTAATAGATGAATGGTCTCGACCCATCTTTGGCCTTACCTCAAACTACAAAGGCATGACCAGGGAAGAGAGGGAACAGAGAGATTTGGAACAGATGCCTCATCGAAGAAAATTGAGCAGGTAGGAGTAGCAGGCAGATACATGAAATCCTTCTTTCTGAGACTCCATCAAAAGAAACCAAGTGATGTGCAAATACCAAAGAAAATAAAAGGGTAGTAAGTTATGGGCTCTTCTACTACACTTGACTGTCTTTTAAAATTTCTTTCTCTGTGTATARATGTCTAGAAATATGAACTTTTTTTTGCAGCTCTGGTGGTCAGACTCCCCGCAGGGATCTGGAGAAGGTGTTAACAGGAGAGGAAAAGTAGGTTGGATTTGTTTTTCTTTTTTTTTTTAATTGTGTATTTTTTTTTTTATGTGTGTATTTTGGTGGTACTGCCAYTATGGAATTTATGTAGAGATTTTAGAGGTGATGGTATGCAGTGTGTTTCAGAGAAGAGCACACTGGGTGGCTTTACTTCTTTCTGGTTAAAATTTGTTCATAACAGTCACATCCTTCTTTTCTGTAGGGCTCTCAGGCCCGGGGACCCTGGGTTCTGTGCCCGTGCGAGGGTGCCAATGCCCTCCAACAAGGACTATGTGGTCAGGCCCAAGTGGAACGTGGAGATGGAGTCCTCCAGGGTAAGCACTGGCAGTATCCTGGTGACTGTTCGTAAGCCTGGGGTTCTGTCACTGTATCACTGAGGTTACCATACAGGAGGGTGGTTCTTTTAAGGGCCTCTTTTAGTAAATCGGGACCGTAAATTCTCTGATAAGTAGGTTGCTCTAAGCTTATCACATATTTTCACAGGAAAACATCTTCTCTGACCAAAAAGAGATTTTTGAGTTACCTTTTCTAGAATTTCTCTCTCAGATGAGAATCTGGTTACAGGCCTCTTGCTCTAAAGCAGAGCTGCCATTCAGTACCTGCACTGATATTTTTGTACCTCTCCCAGCTTTTGTATCATGTTCAGATAATATTCCAGTTAGGGAAACCGTCAAGGTTTTGGTAAATATGGACATCTTCAGTTGAGGCCTTTGTGGTATTTTATGTATTCATCTGTCTACTCATACAGTTTCATTTAAAAGGGATATACATGGTAGAATTTGTGTAAATGGAAGAAGTAACAATTGCTGTGCTGTCAACTGTTCTCTCTTCTTCTGTCCATTAATTGAGATGTTGTTTCTAGCCCGGGACAATTAAGAGAGGTATTAGTCGCTTGGAAAAGCACAAGAGACGGTTTGCTGAACAGAAACGACTCAGCAAAGTGCATCGGGCCATCAAGTTCAGCATTGAAGGCAACAGGATGCCCCTGTAGCCATACCACTGCCTTCCCAAGTTGGAGAGGTATCCCCCGAGGGAGGTGTGAACAGTGCATGTGCTTCAGCTGTTGGCAGTTTGCACATGCAGGACAGGAGTGTGTACACCCTAACCTAAACCTGGAAAACTCCTTGAATTCTCTCATGTCTGTACTGTGACCTACAAGGGAACTTGTACAGGAGAAWACAGGCTCTAGCACATAACATCTGCCACAGCTCCTGCCTGCACAGCTTCAGGTTACCTGAATTTCAGTGAAAATACCTGTGCTCAAAACCAGCTTCGCACCACTCGTGGTTTTGAATGCTATTTGATACAATTAGGTGTTCCAGGTTCACCTGAAGCGACACATGGGAACTCTTAGCCCTTGGTACAGGACCTCGTGTCACTGCACACCGGCGTCTGCGGCTGACCTCTGACTGGGGCACAGTGAGGTGTTTTTCACACCTGGTCGTTCAAGGAAGTAGATTGATGTGACACAATAGGGGTGGTTGATGGGAGGCACAGAATGAGACCAACGGGAGAAGAATCCTCTGTGGGTTGGGGTTGATGCAGGAGTTGTTTTGAGAATTCCTGGCCTGCATTTCAGTCCTGTGAGCAGGACTTCCACAAGCTAACAGTGACAGGAAGAGGTGAGCACAAGTCATAGATAACTGTTGAGTTTAAGCTTCATATTTATTTGTTTTTTAAAAAAGTATTTTCTTAAAAATCACTGTGAAATTTTAGCTATAATTTCAATGAATAGTGAACAGTTTTATGAATAAAGCTTATTCAAAATCAGCGTGTCAGGAGCACCTTGCTTAGCCATGGGAACAAGTTTCTAATGGATGTGTTTTTCAGATACTAAGTAGCATGTTCTGGATATCGCTGTTTTTCCCAAAMTTAGAGGCATTATGTTTCCATCACTTACTGTTTCTGTTGTCTGGTTAGTGAAAATTGCCTTCTAGAAGCACTGGCTATGGCTTGGAAGGTCCTTGCTGTTGGTCTTCAGTGGTGTTTCAGCATTGCATCAACTGTGTTAATCTGTGCGGAACAACTGTTGCGCCACYTGGTTTTCATTTGCGGTTCAAATACAGAGATGAAATACCACAACCTCTAATAGGTTGTATGGTCAGCTTAGGCATTTCTTTTTACTACCCCCTACACTGCCTTTGTCCAGTAATCCCTTGCTCTCTAAATACTAATCCCTGACCTTTAAAATAAATGGCGGTGTGGAATTGATGTGTCAGCCTCAGTCACAGTGTATCTGTGTCTAATTCTCCTGCAGGAAGCCCAGAGCAGGGGATACTGGTGCACTCTGGTTCTGCTGCAGCTTCAGACAATAGATACAAAACTTCCAAACTGTATCCAGCTACACAGTGACTGACCGTGCACTGTGATGGGTGTGAGTGCCACTGCTTCCATCTGGGCCCCTCAGATACTGGGGGATTTCCCCGCTCTGGGAGGAGAACAGACAGACCAGCTGGGCCCAGTGGCTCCCCCAGCTCCTTCCCCAAGTGYGACCTCGCATGTGCTGCTTGCCTTGAACCTCTGGGGCATCTGCTTTTTTTCAGTGGTAATTATTAGTTTTATTTTTTAAGTTCCAGGGGACTTCTAAGAAAGGGGTGAGTCGACTGGACAAACAGATGCGGAAATTCACAGATATCAGGAAAAAAAGCAGATCGGCCCATGCAGTGAAAATCAGCATTGAGGGCAATAAGATGCCATTGTGACCCTTCACAGAATGCCCCATGAGCTCTGCTGTAAGATAATACACCCATAGACTCTTTATAGATCTTTACATTTTTTTAACTTGTTTGGGGTGGGTTTGGTWTTTTGGTTTGTTTTTTAAGTGAATCCTTAAATTGTTGGTTCAGATTCTGGTAGATGTTGTCAGAGGACTGTGAATATGGGGACTCCTTTCTCCTGATTGTATTTAAACTGGCCCTGTTGTGTCCTTTGTACAGATCATGTATTTGTTGTATTGCAATATTTTAAAAAAATAAAACATCTCTTTTTTGGGGGGGAGGGGACTGCCTGTTCATTATTCAGAAGATGGTATGTACAGGCCACCTGGGATGTGGAAAAAATGAGGAATTAATTTTTTGTTCACCTTTGCCCATTTTCTCTTTATTMATTGCTTTATTAATCGTTACATCATTGGAGATCTGCATCTATTGCTTTCGATTTAGAAATATTGACCATCTTCCATGCAAAGAATTTTCTTTTCATGAAGATGATTGTAAAGTTCAGGAGAAAACCAGCAGACTGACCACTAAAAATTGCAGCAGATTCCAGCTAAAATGTTGCTGTAGTTTACCAGTGACTTTGCAAAACTTTATTTTACCAGTGGGAAGGAGAATGTTCCTCTGTTGGGGGCATAATGCAGTTTCTTTGTTTCTGCTGCTACAGAACCACAGCAGAGTAACTTTGTGGTGTTGTGGCTTTTTGCCTCTACCTCTCAAAATGGTTGTCTCTGCTGAGGCTCTGTTGCCTCCAAGAAGAGGACTCTTCTTGCATAGGTAATTGGCAGTTGGCATTTTTTCACTAAGAAAAATCACCTTTGTGCCAAAGGAGCAGAGCCTGTTGGCTGTAATGAGTAGTCTGTAATTCTGGGGATCCTGGTGTTGGCTGAGTTACTGCTGGTACCAGACAYGGAGAGATTGCAAGTGGATGGAGGGTCACACGTTAAATTTGCCCTTGTGAGATTGAAGGGAGTGACAGTAACATAGAGCTAAGTGCTGGGACAGCAGCTTGAAGTGAGAACTGAAGGAGGGCACCTGTACTGCTGGGTCACTAAAGACTGCTGCTTCTGCTTTCTCCGGGTATGTGTACGATTGTAATGTAGTAAACACTCCAGGTGCATGTTTTTAGCAGGCTGAATCCATTGAGGGTTTACTTGGTTTGGTGTTTTTTTGGGGGTTTTTATTTTTTGTTTGGTTTTCGTTTTGTGTGTGTTACTGTGATGGTTTGGGTTTTTTTCCCTTTTTTTGTGTTCTTTTCTTCTTTGGTTTGGTTTGGTTTTTTTTCATTTTAATTAAGAATTTTGAAAGCCAGGACATTTACCACCATTGTGGCAGATGCAACTCTGAAAAGTAAATTAACTGTGTAGAGCTGTTCAGAGCCAGAGTCTGTGTGGCCTGGAAGATTCAGGCGTTAGAGTGGATTGTTTTTTCATCCCCAACTTTTTTTCTATTTCTGATGATACAGTCTGGTCCTGCAATTATAGGGGGTACTGGGGCTACTTCTAAGAGACATTTCCCTGAAGTACTGAATCTGATGGTTTTGTGCAAGGCCCAATAAAAATTCTTCCAGTCAAAATTAATTGTAATAGCTCAGCACTACTTGTTCTCTGATGAAAACAAAGGTGCTGTTGTGGTATGGTAAGAATGGACTTTCACAAGAGCTGAGGGTCTGTAATTGWAACTTCATAGTAAATCCTAAGAAAGGGTCACAATCAAAACTACTTAGGGCATGAAACACAAAGATCAGCTATGAAGAATTCTACCACACAATCCTTTTACCTTCCTGTAGCTCGGAGATTCCTGCCTGGTTTGTATCCAATTCCATACTGACATTGGTTTTTAGATTGGAAAACATCTGTAGTTGGTGCCAGAACTTCAGAGCTCCCTGTATTCAGCACTGTCTCACAACAGACACTTAGCAGAACTATGCTCCCTTTGGTAAGCAGTGAATTCACACGGGGCTGTGGGCCTCTSTGTAGTAACACAGGGAGGCTTGAGACATGGAAAATGCTTTCTTCCTCTAAAACAAAAAAATCTTAAGCAGAGTTTCCTCCTTTGTTACTTGCCGATAGTCCATTATTATACCCAAGTACTTTACTCAGCAATACTTAAAGGAGCAATTTACTCATTTCAGAATTTCTTTGAGGGTATGTTTATTTTTCAACATTGAGCATTGTCTCATAGGCTGAAACAGTAATAATAGAATTGATTTTGTTCTTAAAGGTGGTATTAAGAAAAGTCAAGGGAAAAGTTTTCTGAATCTGCTACACTTTCAACCACCTCTTTGATCCAGGGGATGTAGTTGGCTACTCTGGTGTACACACCATATTTCCCTTGCTCAGCACACCCCTCGCCCCAGCTGACGATGCCCAGGAGGAACCAGGTGTTGTGGTGGGACACAGCAAAGGGCCCCCCACTGTCTCCCTTGCAGGCATCGGCTGCAGCCGTGCTGTGACCAGCACAGAACATGCTGTCAGTGAGCAGCCTGTCCATGGCGTGCTGGCAGCGCTCCAGGTCCACAATCGGCAGCTGCACCTTCATGAGGAAGCGCAGGGTGGAGCCCCTCTCATGTGTGGCTCCCCAGCCGCTGACCATCCCCACCGTCCCTTCCTCAGAGAGTAGCGCAGCCAGGTTAGGGCTGGGCAGGCAGATGGGAATTACGTACTCATTCAAAACAGCAGCACTGCTCAAGTAGAGCAGGGCAATGTCACCATTGTAGTTGTTGGAGTTGTAATGTGGGTGCGTCCAGCTCTGTTCCACAGCGATCTTTTGTTCCTTGAATTCTCTCTGGTATTTGTCAAAGTCTCCTGCAGTCAGGACAAGTTAAAATGTTAACCCAACTATGAACAGCCTCGGTGATACTGGTCATAGGGACCAGAAAGAATAGGGGGATATAATGGTTTGAGCTTTTGTTCCAAGGCAACATGGCCCAAACCAAATCCTGCTTTTGACAATGATTTCTCATGCTGCAGCTGTGATCATGCAGTCCAAACTCTTCAGGTGCCCTTTAGAAGCAGGACAGAGCTGGAGCCTRGATGCTGACACACCAGAAGATTTATTTACCACAAATACTGTCAGTCGTTTTTACTAAGCACTGTTGTGTCTAAGCTTCCCTGCAGCTGTATGCTTTCCCCTCAGGAATGTGACATCAGCATTAAGCTGTAGCTGGGGTTAAGACTGGATAATTGTTCCCTGTCAGTTGCCAGTGTTGGAATGCCGTTTTCTCCTCCTACACATGCTTCTCCACATGGGGTCAAACACAAAATTGTGTTTACTGCAGCATTACTGCTGCAAAGGGCCTACTTCCTGTGACTGGAGCTGGGGAAAGGAGCTTTGTGCTCTGAGGCAGTTACATGCTTAATGGAAAAAGAAACTAATCGTATAGCTAATTAAAACACAAAATGGCCTTGAGTGCAGACTGTAACCTGCAGGAACTCTTCTTCATCCTGAAGTGTCCCCAAKATGTTCTCAGTCTCTGTGCACAGTGAGTTTGCCAAAATGGGTCTGTGCTTTATTCTCTCGGGTTCTCAATGAAAACTAATGGGACCAGCTGGAGCTCCTCAGCACTAGCATGATGCCAAGACCATGACGAGTTCCCTAAACCCCAGAGAGGCTGGGCCTATCTCAGCACTACCTTGCTGTGTCACACAAAGCACAGTTGCAGTCAGAGGTGCCCCGTGCTCACCCAGGGTGACGTACTGGGGACTGACGAGGTCGAGGCAGTGCGCTGCCGTGAGCACCCAGCGCCGGCTGATCAGGCTCCCGCCGCAGAACGAAACRTCCCGGCTGTTCCGGAGCAGCACCTGTAGATGGGGAGAGGCAGAACCTGGCACCAGAGTGGGGCCAGGCTCCTGCACACACTGTTGGTTGCAGGCCCGATGCTGTGTAATGAATACGGCTGATGGGAATGACCAGCACAACAAGAACAGGTGGGGTGAAAACAACAATAAAATGATTCAACTGCTGGGACAAAGGAGCAAAGAGTRTTATAAGGAACTAAGCTTGATAAACTCAAATCATTTTAGAGCTGCAGTGGCTGGCATTCTGAAGGAGCAAGTGTGACTGATTTTTTTCATGTAGTTTGAAAAGTTTTGGGGGCTGGCAGCAGAAACACAAGGTGTAGTTCATTGGGACTCTGATAATAAAATTTGTAATCATCTACACAGTAGCAAATGGAGATGTTAGAATATGCGGCTCTGTGTTTGATATCTGTCTTCTCTGTTCAAAGTTAGAAGCTCCATCAATGCCTCAGCATCTCAATTAAACTCCCCAGACCTGTAGATTCATGTGTTAAACTGAAGAAAAAGCTTCTATGTTGGTATTCTGCATCTCCAGGGAAATTAATAATCAAAGAGTGGAAAGGGGTGTAACACTGTCTGGCCTCCTATCATGGTCCAGCTCCTGGAGTAATCTTTCCTGTTTTACATGATCCATTTTGACTTAATTCTATATACTATTGAGCTTTTAATTATGTTCAACAGTGCTAGGAACAAACACTGAAAAGTAGCAAAGAACAATTACCAGAAAATGCTGTCATAGGTTGTGAAGAACTGGAATGCAAAGGGTTTACAAAACCCTTTCAAAAATTGTGTGTATATACATATACATATACATATACATATACATATACATATACATATACATATACATATACATATACATATACATATACAAGATTAAATTAAAAATTGCCTGCTGTAATAAAAATTTTAAATTACTTCAGCTTCCTTGATGGTAACACTTGATTTCAAGAAGAAAGTTTATAGGTTGGGCAGCATTGGAACAACATTCCCATCTAACAACCCAGAATCAGGCTATAAGATGGTGAAAACCTGTAAAATTGGCTAATGGTGACATTTCCACTTGTCAAAGTGCACAATGAATGCACAGTCCACCCAGGTTCAGCCTTTGATTTTTCCACCTGTAAATACCTCCAGATGTGTGGAATTGGGAAATCCACTTGTATGACAGYAGTAAAATAGACTGAGGGTAACAGGGGTTTTTTTTAGAACAAAATTTCTGTGCACAAGCTCCATGCTCCCTGCCCCCAAGCACTAGAACACTGACCAGAGTCAATAGAGTAAAAATTAGTGACAAATAAGGACATGCACAAAAAATGCCCCAAAACCATGATTTAAAATCTAATACAAGGCAATGGAAGCAAACACTTCAATTGTCCCTTTGAGCCCTCAGTTTTCCCTCCCTTATTGTAACATCTTGTGAACAACTCAGCATTCTAAGGAATCTCACCTGGCCATGGAACCTGCTTTGTGAAAACTACCAGCCTTCCAAAAGGAGGCAAAGCCTGGCTTTTCCCCAAGGACATACAGACACAACCTGAATGAGAGACAGAAGAACTGACTGACTTAAGAGAGAGGGTATTAACATTCCAATCCAAAAGCAAGATAGAGGAAGRATGATAAAAGTATTAAAGGTCCCTATCATCAAAAAGCCCTACAGAAGACTCACAAATACATGTGGTTCCATTGCTCTTGACTTGAAAAATCAACTTTATARTGGCTTGATGAACTCTGCTCTTCCTGATGGACCCAGTGATGATACAGTAAAAAAGCATTTAGATATGGTGTTTATGGTAAGACTGTAAGTAAAGTATTACCTGCCAGGGGCAATGTCCGCGATGACAGAGCATTCCTCCCGTTACCCTGGAGTCATAGTGCTCCAAAGTAGAGCTGATGTTTGTCTGGGTGGGCTGAGATGTGTCCAAAACATCTCCCCAGTCACTGCTCTGATGCAGCCCCACATTCCCAAGTTGAACTGCCCCTGTTCCATTTTGGCCAGAGTCCTCCCCTCTGTGGTTTTGCCACATAGCATTTCCCACTGTTCCTTCCTGCCTGGCTGCAGGTGCTGTGGTCTTGTTCTGTTCTGCAGGACCCTGGGTTGGCTCACTCTGGGCAGCTGGGGCTCCCCTGGGCCTGCCAGGCCTGGCGTTCTCCTCCACTGCCTCGTGGTGCTCAGGGACATCCAGCTCTTGCCCCGCAGCACTGTCCCACAGCGGCTTCTGGGTCACAGAGCCCACCAGCATCTTATTCCAACTGAAAGTRTCTCCTGCCATCCCTGTTTGTCCAGCGTCACCCTTAGTGCACGAGCTCTGGCCAAAGGCATCCTTTAAAGTCTCTTCTACAACATCACCGTGTTCCAGCTCTGTCTGCCTAACTGTGCCCTCTGTGCTCCCATTCCATTCGGGCACAGGATCCCTGTGCTCCCACTGACTCCTCCGGAGTTCCTCCAGAGCCCACCTGGCTTTGATCAGGCCACAGGGAAATGGTGCTGGAGGAAAGAATGACAGAAACAAAGACTTGAGCTTAGATATGTCAGGTGTCAGGTCGTGACGAACTCAAGACAAAGCAGTGCTTTTCCTGTCCAAGGATGGGACTCAACCTTCCAGTAAGAGCCCAGGAACAAATCTGACATTGTGATGTTCAACAGCCTGTTGGCCACCACCCAACTGAGGTGTGCAGAGCTCATTGCCCAGAAATGGGCCAGTGGCTCTGCCCTCTGAGTCACCAGCATCATCCAGGAGCAGYCTGCCCAGGGCCCTCTTCAAGACAGAATGCAAAGCCAGTGCTCCCTTCCTGCCTTAACAGCAGAACTTTTAAAGCCCCTGTCCTGTCCCCTCGCCTCCCATACTGCACTTCAGCATCATGATTCCATTCRGCTTGTGTGGATGAAGAAGGAATAGATCCAGAGCTGCCTGTCCTGCTGCTTCGTGACCCAGTATGTGCTCACAGCGGCACTGGATTACAGACACACTCTTTAGAAAGAGGTAAAYGTTATAAAGACAGATCTTTTCACACACTTAAGTGCAAGCTGCAGTAGCTGCAGCGTCTGCAGCTCTTGTGCAAYTAGTGAAGGAGAAGTCGCTGACTGCCAAGCTGCCAGTTGCCTAAGGCAACCCAAGCCACCCCTGCCTTACCTGCCTGCACGCATCTCTTCCCATCCTCATGCAGCACGTAGTCCCTGGTGCAGGAACACACCACCCTGAAGGGGTTGTCGCCATCCCTGCAGTACTGCCAGCAGCCACCGTTCTTGTACCAGCATTCCAACCTTTCTGCCAGGAAAATACCGGCACCACACGGTCACAACAGTGCACGGACCCTGGGCAGCTCCCAGAACTACCATTACATTAAAGAAAGAAGGAAAACATCCACTGCAATCTCTCAGGGAGACAGAAGGAACTACCTCTTACAGTTCCAGAAATCCACACTAAGTTGCAGCAAACCAGACTTTATGCTTGTTGTTCTGTTTTGATCATTATCCTCCTGTTTGCCAACTTTGCCCTGAGGCCATGGCCAGGCTCAGGGCCTTTCTGCCTGTGGAACAGGTGCAAGAAAAGGCCTAGAGGAGCAAACACTTCTAAATACATCTGGTTTTGATCCATCTGCACACCTTTTATATCAAGGCAGGTTTAAAGCGCAGGGCATTTTAGGGTCAGGGGGACAATTCTCTGAGAAATTGAGATTTTTATTCATTGTCACATTAAAAATAATCATGTTTAATTGCTTCACTGTGCAATGAAAAAGTTGACACAGAATAAAAAAATTCCTCACAATTCATAGTTTCCACATTAGTTTGGCTTGTGCTATTATTTCATCTCAGTTTGCAAACTGGATACAGCCTTTCAGAGGATCAGAAATCTGACAAAAGAAGGCAGTCTTTCTACTTCCTTTCCCATTATTCATATATTACAACATAAATATAATAAATTTTTATGCTTACAGTAAGCTTTGTCTCATTTGTTTGATTATTAACCCAATGACTAACAAAAGAGAAGAGCCTCACCATGACTGATCTCCAGTGCAGACATCTATGGCAARATTTACTAGAGTTGTTATCCTTCTAAAGTGATTAAGAGGGGTAATTCCCTGTCATTTCTTGAAAGCAGATGGGAGATGACCACATGCCATCCTTCCTTCACAATGAATGTCAATGTGTCTGCACCTGTACTCACCTGTTTCACAGTTGTCTCCTCCAAATTTGGGGGGGCAGATGCAAAAGTAACGGTAGTGTCTTATTTTGCACACTCCACCGTTGTTACAGGGATTTGTATTACATGGATTTAAACCTATGGAGAAGAAACAAGGTATAGAGTAACTCCAGGAATTAAGAGAAACCTGGTTTTAAGCTGCTACGTAATTCTTTGTAGCCAAGAGGGACACAAGAAATACATTTTCTAACAATTCCTTTTTTACCTACCTTTGTAATTGAACCAAAATTCCATCTGCAAGAAGAAATCACAAATGAAGAGAAAAGTCATAAACAGTCATATTGATTACTGAAGATAATTCAGAAAACTTTTTTTTAGGGTCCACGTAAACTGATGTTTTGATTATAGCCATGAATACACTCACAGAGCAGATCTCCTGATCACCACCATGCCACTCGCTTTTGTTTGCACCATGGACCAGCCCCAGGATGGGACTGTCCTGGAACGGAAATTAAACTGAAAGCTCAGATCCATAAATGCTTTGGCCAGTGAAAGGTCTCCTGGCCCAGCACGATCACCATCTGCCCCGTCCCCCCMAACATGTCAATGAAAGGCCTCAGCACCAGCTACCTTGCTCTGAAGAGCCATTTCCCCTGTGCTGCTCTGCCTGCTTAGGAGACATAACCTGGCACCTCGGGCTGGATCCAGGAGCACTCAGGCCCCTCTGTGTGACACCCCTGAKTAGAAGACCCTGGCAGAATGCCCCAGCCCTGCTCCCAGTGGGATGCTGCCAAGCCCTTGGGAGYAGGACAGCATCCTCTGTATTTGGAAGGCCTGATGAAGCAAGCAACCTCTGAAAATAACCCAGTCATGTTGCTAAATTGATGCTCACACAGATATAGGATTTAGATACTTTCAAGGAATTGTGTTTAACATCTATGCAACAAACTGAGCCCTCAAAAAAATGAAATCTCACAGGTGTCTTGAGTGAAACACCCTGAAGTGACTCAAGCTGCAGAGTCCATAGACACACACCTACCAAAGCCATACCAGGTGGCTTGGGAAGGATTATTTACACCTCACTGCTAACTTCCCTTTATTTTTCCTAAAATCAGGTTTCTCACYGTTTTCTCCTGCGAATGGAAGATCTCCTTAGCTTCCTCAAATGAACACTTTTCCTCATTGCATTCTCTCTCCAGATTCCCTGGACGAATCTCTTCTAGGAAGTGGTTGGCACGTTTATGGACTCGCAGCACCTCATGGGCTTTGTCTTTTCTCATAAACGCTAGAAGAGAAAAATTGAACAGTTGATATGGGAAGACAAAGCGGCAGCATGTTACAGTCACAGTCAGAGGTATTCAGTGGAGTGATATAAATAGGGGAGTGGAAATGTACATGAACAGCCCAAATGAAAATAAAATTAGTGTATATTCCAGCAAAAGATGCCAGTAGCTGAAGCTTTCTTTCAGTGGATCGGAAGAGCCACTACTGAGACCTGCAGATAAGTGCAGAAATATTTTTTTATTCCACAAGACTCTTGAGTATTGCAGCTTCTTCTGTGGAGGATGGTTATATTTTTCTGCTTAACCATATTGATTCACAGCAATTATTAGTTTGATATTTGGTAATGGAGACCCAGAGTTTCCCAGGTGCTGCTGCGGCCACAACAGGACAGACACCAATCCTCCATTAAGAGAAATATAAAAGTGTCAGTTTTGCACTTACATTTAGTTCATCTCAGCTTCACTTCATTAAACTAGCTGCTCTCCTCCTGCAATGCCTGAAGCTACTACTGCCAGTAAGTCATGGCCAAAAGAGGGAATATGACAGTAAGRTTCTGCTTACACACCCCCTGCTGCTTCTGAAGGTTTCTGACTTTTTGTTACATCTCCAGAAGTCATAATAAATATTGCCCAATATCCAAAGCCCGCCCAGCAGATGGAGAGGGTGCTGCTACYGGTGTCCTAAGGTGAAAGCTCATACTGTAATCCCTACAAAGACCACAAAAATCCATATAGCAGTGCACATAACTGTGCTCCTTTTTCCAGGGCATGGGGCAGTGTGCTGGACGAGCCAAACCTTTGGACAAAGAACCCAGTTTTGGAGATGGACTGTAAAAGTACACATTTCTTTAGTTGCAGTAACCATATCTACAGCAATGCCTGAAAATTCTAGAATGATACTAAATTGCCTCATTTCTAAGCAGTTAATAACAGCGCACAAAAACTCTTAGTGGAAAAAGGCATTGGACAGATCCTGTTGTCTGGTAACAGAGAAAATGTCTTTCACATACGTGAGTGAAATTTCCCTTCACCACCCCTTTTGTTCTGAGGTCACCTCACAGGATTTACCTGTGCAGGTGTCCCACACAGTGGAGATGGCTGTGGTGAGCTTTCTGGTGTGCAGATAGACTGCCAGCTGTGCTCTTCCTAAGGACAATGATCCCTGAGATCCTGTCCACTCTTGTGCCTGTTCTACAGCTCTCTGAAGCCATTTCCAAACCTTGTGTAGTACAGTCAACACAAGAATACATGTTGAGAGTGCCTTATTTTAGCTTCCCAAACTGGAAATCTTTGCCATGCAAAAATCATTATGATTTTGGGTTCAATATCACAAAGAGAATATTTTTCAAAAGGAGAGTGGGCTAAGTAGAAAGCTGAAAAAGGCTAATTTCTCTTGAAAATATGTGTGTGTGTGTATATAGCTTCTTTCTATATGTATTTATATATATATAACTTTTTAATGTATATATATATATATATATATATATATATATATATATATATGTATGTATATGTAAATGTATAAAACTTTTCTCTTGTCTTGAGTTTTCTTCAACCCAGAGAACTTTGTGTTCAGAACAGGAAGGTAGTTTCAGTTTAAATGCTGAAATTGCCACAGTAACACAAGTGAAAAAGGTAACTTGGAAGTACTACCTGAATATGAAAACAGGCTGCTGCTGTTGATGAAGCACATCAGCAGGAGAAATATCCCAAGTAAGGAGCTGCTCCCCATGTCAGTGAGCACTCAGAACACTCTGACTTCCTTCAGAGGGAAAAGAAGAATCAGGTTTTGTTGTCACAAAACCAGGCAGCAACAAAGATTAAGTAGAAGCAAGAGGACAAGACCAGGGACAAAGCCCAGGTCATTCTAAACTCATGTCCCTTATTTCTCCAAGCCACCTCAGCAGGAGCCCCACAGGCAGAGGCTGAGCCAGCCTGGGCTGCGATGCAAGGTCTGAGCCAGACCCCCCACGGAAAAGCCATGGGGAGCATGGAAGTGCAGGGCCAGGCCCCAAAGGAGCAGGGGCCACTCCCAGCCACAGCCCAGTTCCCGCTGTGCCAGTGCACAACGAGCCACCAGCTCCAGCACTTCCAGTAGTCCCAGTGGTTCCAGCAGCCACTGTGCAATTCCTGATGGTCTGGGCAAGTAAGACCATCTGCACCAACCCCAGCCAGGCACCAGCTACCACATACCTGGCAGTTACAGGTACAACACAGAAGTTTGGATTTCTTGGCATTACCTTACCACGCTGAATGATTTACCAGGATTCGACAGCATGTACCTCTCTGCTACCTGCAGCACGTTTTCAAAAACACAGGATCCAGRGTGAGTTCAGCTTACACAAAACCGTGAAATTATACTCACTTTTTTTCTATACTTGTTTTAGGGGAAGACTGGAGGGAGATTTGGATGTTCACCAGAAACAGCCATGAGGTCATGAGGTTGATCATTAACCCGTCACAAATATTGACAAAAGAGAGACAACCTGCATTCTATGAAATGCATTAGAAATCCAAAATGAGAATAGCGCGTTTCCACACACATACACCGGTGTATTAAAAAGAGAATTAAAAAGGTGTTTAAAAATATCCTTCAGTAATAAAAGTCACCTTTCGCAACGAATTTATTCAAGAAAATGCGGAAATTTTGAGAGGAGTTTTCTAACATTCCATCACCTTTCAGCAAGTAAGACCAACTGCTTTGGAAAACACAAAAGCTGCTCTGTAAACCTCTGCTGAAATATGCACAGCTGGGAATGTGCAGTAGGATTCACAGCAGTCACTGCACAGTTTGCAGGCAGGCAAACATTGCACAGTCACAGCCACGGCTGACATTACAATTTCTGCCGTTAATCAGACCTGTGTTTTACTTGCTTTGAACACAGTCATATTTTTCCCTGTAGGTCAGTGTTACAGGTTCCCTTTTCCCAGTGCAGGCGTGGTGGGAAGGCTGCTGTTTAAAGCATTATTTTTTAACGTTCATCTGTCCCTAAATCCTGTCCCAAGGCAAAAAGAGGAGAAGAAGAGACACTGCCATCAAGTGATACAGAAGCTCTTGGCTTGACTGCTACTTCTTCAGTGCATGACTCAACATCCTTTCTTTGGTAACAAGCACAAGAGGCAGTTTCTGAGGGAACAAGTTCGTGAATTTAAGAGGTTTTAAGCCTCCTTGCTGAAAACRTATTAGATTTCTTACAAACCCTAATAAAATGTTTTTGTACTTGGGTTTTTTTTGTTTAACTGTCTCATCCCAAGAGCAGGCTGAAGTTCTTCACTGATCCAAACATGCATCCATGCCCATCGAGATCTTGGAAATGCATCACTATAGCAGAGAAAGTTTTTCTTTCTACAAGATTAATTATGTTTAACGAGTCTCAGGTACTAACACTAGAAACACTTGGACTATTGCTACTTCCTATGGACTTAGTGGTGCTGTATGCCTTTATTTTATTTATGACAGAGATGAAAACAAACACATATTTATCAGTAAAAGCACCAGCAATGCTAACACAGCCTGCAGCTGATTGCGTTCACCAGAACAGAAATGAACAGAAATGTTTGCTTGCCTGTTAACTAGAAGAGAATTACAAACCACGATAAATAGAGCCTGTAAAGCTTGGAATTAAAGGTCTTTTTTTTTTAAAGGAAGTTTGGTAGGGTAAAATCAGGCATCAAATGTGCAAAGAATGGAAAATACAGGTAAGTTCCAGTCACCTGCTGAATCAACAACCTCTGAACACTGGAGTAAGATGTGAAGAACTGAAGGCAGTAATGATATAATAAATATTTCACTGGGTTGAAAGAAAAATTATACAAATACAGAGCAAACTAAAACAGTACTGTGGGTAATACCTTGCAGTACAGCTGAAATGACAGAACTGCATCTCTATGGTTATCTRCAAAACACTTTTCTCTGTCCCCTCCTGCCTCCACCTCAACCAGTTCAGATATTTTACATCTCAAAGATGGAATTATCTAACCATGGACAACTTTATTTTCTACAATGCTGTATTGTATAGAATCTCAGCTGAGAGGTTATTTTCTTGCCTGTGTGGCCTAAGTAGGACCATGCCACAAACAAACAGCACAACCTGCAACAAAACAATGTAACAAGAAAAAAAAAAAAAGGAGGAAAACAGATACCAAGGAAAACAGCACACAAGGTTAACACACACTCAATATTTAATACTGAAGATCTGACAGTACATTACACCACATACTGTTATTAGCACAGAGCCACAACATTCCAGACTCTGGGCCAGAATCAACCCTTCGAAGGAGCTGACATATCTATGTGGTGCTGGATCCATTCAAGGTATTGACTAACTTTGGTGTAGACTCCAAATTTCTCCTTTCTTCCACAGCCTTCACCCCAGCTCACAAGTCCTACTAAAAACCAAGTATCCCTGTATCTAGTGAACATAGGGCCTCCGCTGTCCCCACTGCAGGAATCTTTCCTGTYTCCCAGGCTCCCAGCACACAGCATGTTGTCAGAGATTGGGGAGCTCATGGCCTGGATGCACTCATTCCGGGGCACGATGGGGATTTCAATGTACCTGAGGGAAGCAGCRTAGCTGTTGTTACGCTCACTCTTGCTGCCCCAGCCTGTCACTACCATCTGCTTCCCACTCCTCATCAGCTCCTGCTCTGCCAGGCTGCGGGTGGGAAGGCAGATGGGGAGCGCGTATGTGTAATACATCACATGCTCAGCCAAGTGCAGCATGGCTATGTCATTATCCGAGGTCTTCTTGGTGTAATTTTCGTGGGTCACCCATTTGTCAACCCAAATGGTTTGCTCRTCTGCCTCAGGACGGAAACGGAATTTACCTGGAAGAACAAACAAGATGACAGATGCTGCCAAAGCTCTCTTTACGTTGAACACCAAAGTATCTGGATTACACCAGACATTAGGACTGCACTCCATATTTTACTTCTTTTGTAATACAAACAACTGTTTATGTCATAGGTTAACACTGTTCTTAACAGATGGACAAATCTGTCAACTTTTCATATTTATGGAAGTCATRAATACCTATAGAGTGCTAGAGCTCTGGTCATCAGCTGAGAAACCAAAATGTCCTGAGGTGTTCGTATTTCAGTACACTTGTGCAATGTGAGAGACCTTCATGAGGAAAACAACTTTCTTGGAGTCAGCATTAAAAGCTGGGAGAGCAAGCACACCACAATAAAGGACATTCACAACAGGACATGAGTTTTAATTACACTGCATAGCCAGGGCCTGGATGGCTGAATGTCAGGATTTGTAAGATAAAGTTGACTGATGRGTAAGGTTATTCCTTTCTGAAATGTTACATCTTCATTTTAAGGAATTTTTGACTGCCTAAGACTTCTCAGTTGCTATTTGTGCTACATGATCATGGCTACTTTGTGGGTAAAGCAGTTATGGAACAGCAAACAAGAAACTGTGTTGAAAAGGGCCAGAAAGGCAAGAAGTCATTTGTGATATAATACAATAGGAAAGGCAGAGCTCRGTCTTTCTGGCAGGCTGTCAATGAGGTCTTCCAGTTTTTTTTCTGTAAGGAGTCTCTCCAAGCATAGGGACTTATGAACCACAGTATTACAGACATATATTCTCAAAAGATCCCTTAAATCCAACTTTGGATCTTGGACTTCCAGACCATTTATTTCTGAGTCTCYCTTCTTGCTCCTCTGCAGACAATGGATAGTTCACATGTGGCCAGAGCAGCGAGTTAAAGCTGCCCTGATGTCTTGTACTAAGTGGTACCAGCACCTGAAGGACTTCCTAGAATTGAGCCAACAATCACAAATCAATTCTTCTCTCCTATCAAAACCTCTTTTCCTTGCAGTGACAATGTCCACAACACCTCTGAGGCAACCTGAGGCCACTGTGGCTGGGGGCTGGCTGGCAGGTAAGGAAGAGGCAGGGCTTTATTCCTGCCTTCAYAGGCACAAACTCTGCTTTAGGCCTCAAAGTAACTCTGGACTCAAGCACTGTCAGACCATCTCCTCTGGGAAGGCAGAGTGACTGTGCAGGAATACACTTGCTGTGGGGTCACATGCTCTGTACACTAGCACAGCCACCAAATGTCTCCATCCTGAGGCACCCATCAACCAGTGCAGGTGACATCTTTTGCACTGCAGCGACAGGTTCCCTCCCCCCAGCCCAGGGAGACGGACACCCTTTGACTTCTGGTGGGTTATCCACCTCCAGAGTTTCAAATTCCAGGAATTCTGGATGTACACGTGGATGTACTGAACCCAGAGGCTGTGGAAATGCATTGAATTCCTTTCACACAATAAGGAGCATCATAAACTTGCTGCTGGCACAAAAACATTAACTATGAAGGCAGAGAGAGTATTTTGAATTGAATCATTACATCCACCTATCTGGTCTATCTTCTTGGAGTTCCGAACACACTTCTGGGTGCTCTTAGGCTGGAGACGAAGGTACAACAGCCACAAACAGAAATATTGTTCTCAAATCCATCTTCCAAAATTTCAGCTGCTCAGAGAACTTTCTACTTCAGACACTAAAAAGCCACGTAAGCCCCACTACCAGACTTCTAYCCAAGCTGAGTGCAAACCCAGATGGGAGTTCCCCCTCCAGTTTTGCTACTATGGATGGCAAGCTGCCGTGGGACAAGTCCAGAAGCGTGTGGGGTATACTAGCCTGACAGGCATGGGTTGACCTGTGCAGACCCAATACAAACACATTCCTGGCTGTTCCCACAGACATGGCAATATCTCCATCCAAAACTCTGCTCCATGTCCCTCATAGACATCTCCAGGTTTTTTCTGATGAGAACTGCTTTTGTGGTGGCAGATGTCTCACTGTGGAAAGGTGAATATTCTGGCACTAAGTGGACCCAAGGCCACATCACACACTTTGCAAATTGGRTGTACATAAACTTATTGTCTCTGTCTCAAGCACCTGCACATCCACAGTATATATGGAACATGTGCACAGACCATCTATTTTTAAGGCTATATACACAGACAATATATTGGCAGGGCTTTCCACAAATACTGGGAATAATCTATCCTTTCACAAATTGGAAAGCAAGCAGTTGAGCTGTTATGCCTCAGCACCAATGGTAGATAGAAAACACTGTTCAAAAAAAAAAATCTACGTAAGTGTGAATGAAACACTAATTATTTTTTGTCTCTTAATTCAGGAGAAGCACTTACTTGACTTAGTGACATTTTCTCATGTGCCAGAGAGCAGCAGAGCAAATAAAGGCAGTGTTGCCATTCTGCAGCACCTCTCTTTCTTCTTGAATGAAACACTCTTAAATGTTTAAAAKCATGAAAAGGCAGGAAGAGATCCTGTGACATTCTCCTTCTAGGATCAAGGCTTTTTTTCCAGTATTGGGATGACCTTAAATACTTCCATCACCAGAAAAACACAGGCAGAAGAGACCAAGCCTTTCTACTTTACAGACCAGCTGCAGTGCTCAGAAGACATGAGSTCACTTCCAAAATAAGGCTGATAATTGCTCAAATGAAATCGGATTCTTACTAAACTTTGTTTTAAGCTAAGGTGCATATTAAATACTGCCTAGACAGACCACTCCTACAGCCAAGGACTTCTGTCTTCAGAACCTGCTAGTCTTTTCTCTAAGATGATAAATGTTGGGAATGAAACAGTTATATTTAAAAAACATAGGGACAGGTGATTTTTCCATACCAAGTTTTACTCTGAACCCTTTATGTTTCTCAAGGCAGTGTGCTGCTGTTAGGATCCATGCTGGATGGATGAGAACACCCCCACACAGAAATGTTCCTTCAGTATTTTCCAGCATAATCTGAAACAAGACAAGAGAGGTATGACACTGCATKGAGCACAGCTCACAGAATACAGCACTCATTCTTCTTGGAGGCTGCCAAATACCCAGACTTATCAAGCACCAAAGCATGTCACATTAACTGATGCCAAAGCTCTACAGTGGGACAAAAGCTCTATGAATAGAGTCTCCATGAAATACGTACAAAAAAGTTTTGAATGTTCTCCCTGAATAAGGGCTGGCTTCATCCAAATCAGCATGGGCCACTGCAAAGCAGCACTTTGTACTCAAAGCTTTGAAATACAGAGCACAAAAGAGGGATGTGTCCCACACCAGAGAGAGTGCATYATCTCAGGCTGCAGCTCTCACACTATGGTGTAAAAGGCCCTTTAATATCAAAGAGAACCAGGTCCTAAATATTTGCATTCATTAGTTCCATGGTAAGCTCTCTGAGGTCTCTTTTTACTCTGCAATAACCCAGCCTGCCATTGCATAWTTTAAAATAAATTATTAAACTGGCTAACTTGAATTTATGACAGACAGGACTTGGAAGAAAGGGCAGGAAGATCATCTCCCACTGGAAGGCTGTTGCAGGAGCTGAAGCTCACATCACACAGCATGAGTTTCCCAGGATGGAGCAACAGAGCAGGTGAGTGTTATCACCATCCTCTCGGCAGTGTTGGCAAGATACGGTCAAAAACTTAGCAACAGAAACAAGGTCAAGAGTTCTCACAGATATTAAACCATTTTTTCCCGCTAYTCCAATCTTTGGGATGCTTTAGAAAAAGCTAAGGGAATCTTAGCTTCATATGATGCTACCAGTAGCAATGCAGGAGCTTTTCTATAGCAGAAAAGCAGGCAGAGCAGTTCAGAAGAGCCTGAATTATTTGTAAAAAAGAATCCCTTTCTTCTCACCTGCCAAGGGCTGCCTCCCTTTCTTCCAACTGTTCCATCAATGAGCCGAATATTGAAGTCTGCTTTGGCTTCAATGTAGTCCAACTTCACTCTTCCACAAGGGAACTCCACTACAGAGGATGCAGAGAAGTTCACCAGCAAAGCCCAGATCACCYAATACTAAATCTCTTTGTAGATTCCCTCTGTCTTTCTAACCTAGGCAATATTGTTCAAAGGTTTCATGGAAGTCCCTCAATGCTTGGCAGAGGAGGCAGTCTCCTGGCTCCCTTCTATGCCTCCATGAGGCATATTAAGTGCCATAAAGTGGGTATGGAGCTGGGAAATACAGGCAGAGTTACTCAGCATGGAAAAGATGTTTTCAGAATCAGTACAAAGTGCACTGCAGACAAATCTCCCCTAAAAGTCTTTCACATCAGTCTAAATAATCCTCTGTCAAAGCTGGACTACAAACATCCTGCTCTTACCTACAGGCTCACAGTTGGTGTGGTCATCCTTGAGCTGATACCCCGATGCACAGCTACACAAGCGATGCTGCTTCGCAGGGTCCTCCCTGCAGAAATGTTCACATCCCCCATTATCCATGGAACAGTTGGTGTATTTGATCTCTGTGGGAAAAACAAACAGCAAGAGAGACGTGGAGTTGGGAAGTCAGAACCACAGAAAAGCAAGGTGGTAAAGTGGCATCATACTTCAAGTGAGCAACAGATATCAATGGATTTGGTAYGACAGCTGTGGGCTTCAATAGCACTCGCGTCCCAAGACAGCAAACAGACCTAGGTCCAGAATCAGGCAGTGAGGAGATGGAGGAAACAAATTACTGTCAGGTAGACTGGAGAACAGAAAATTCCTTGTCACTTATGTACCAAGTTGCACAGTGAAAATGGTTGATGGTACATGACTTACAATGCTCATCCCTAAATATGCTATCTAGCTTTTGTCCAAGGAAGGTCACAGTAATAAAATATTTGCAGTAAACTGGGTTTTCCCCTGTATTTAAAAACCCCATCATAATCCCTGGGTTGATTATTCTAAGGTAAACCTCTGCTTTACAGAGTTATTTCCAATATTGYCCAAAATTTAGATATCTCATATCTTTCAAATTCTGCCATGGCAACACAAAGTTAATTTTGYTTTAGATAAGCAAAGATAAACCTCTCGTCACATCAAGAAGTAAGAGAGAAATCACATTATTAAAGAAAGTGAGTATGTTGTGCAGTGACTCTCCCTAGAGATCCCCATCACAAAGTATGTTATTTTATAGTGGATTAAAATGCAGTGTTACCATAATTGCACAAARCCCCCTCCCAGCCTTTGTTACAGATGCAGGAAAATTTTCCAATATTGTCCTTGCAGATCCCATTGGAACAAGGGTGYTGCTCACACTGATCTCCATCTGAAACAGAGGTGAGAAAACTCAAGTTACTGAATCATACAGAGCTCACAAATCAAACACCAACACAAGCTCCTCCCCAAATTCCCAAATATCACCCAAGTTTCTGGTACTTAATCATTACACCTCCATAGTACTTGGCCAGAGACAGGGCCATCAGTTCAGGTTCTCAATTACAGCTGCAGAGCAAGTGGAGCGGGCAGAAGGGGAGGAAAGAGTAAAGCTTGAGACGGGCAGGGCAGCAGCAGGYTACTGCTGGACCACATCATGCGTTTGAGCATCAAAGCATTTTTCACCAATTCCTTAACTCTGGGAAATTGACTGATGATAGGTACAGGTGCACCTCAAGTGTTTTAGGACATTTGCTTCTGTGACRGAACAGGAAAACATTCTCTGCCCACCCCATATAAGAGAGAATGAGAATTTGAATCAGTACCAGTAGCTCCTAAGGAAGCGTGGAGAAGTGATTACAGAAGTCTTTACTTACCTACATACTTGCTCCAAAAATCTAGCTGTGGAGAAACAAAACTTRTATTATGGCAAGAAAACCAATTTTAAGAAGCAAAGGATTTAAAGTGTGTCATGATCTTGGCCAAGAGGACACAGCACTTGGATCAATAGCATTGGTCTCATTCTTGTTGGTAGTGTAGTGACTAGCGCTACAAACCAAGATAACTGGCCAGTGATCCTCCTGTACTGCCTGTACTAAGCATAAGACCACCCCATCCTGCTTGCTGGCTCTTTTCTTGTCACTTGCTACTTGTCACTTACTAAGTCACTTGAACTCACTTGAGCCCAGTTAGACAAAACATGGGTATTCCAAGGACCCTCTCTCCTCTGGGATCTGAGGGACAGCAAGGACTGYGTCATCCTATGCTTTGGGCCTACTCTGCTAAACATGGCAACAGAGTCCAACTCAACCCAACAACTGAGTGTGGAAAGGTGCAGGGATCAGTGAACAATAAACAAAGTGTCCAATTCAAAATAGGAGTTTGGAGAAGGAGAGCGCAAACATAGTGATCAGAGAAATGTTTGTCAGACACAACTGGGAGATTTGGGAGATACACTGAAAGCAGCCAGGCCTGGTGAATGGACAGCAAAGGGGAAAGACTGGGAGAACTGGRAAAAACCTAGTGGCAGCAAGAATAGCCAACGGGGTCAAGCAAGAATTTAAATTAACTGTCTGGGTTCTAAACCTCACCAGGTAGGACATGTTTGAGTAGTGAAGCTCTGTGGTCCATACAGGGGTAACTTGACAATCACTGTAACACAATGACTCAAAACCWTGCCTACACCCGAGAAGTCAGGAGMGATCCATGTTCCGTACTGACAGCATGATCTCCTATGCCATAGATTGCAATATTTTAAGAAAATAATTGATTGGCTAAGTTCCCCACTCATCCTTAAAAAACCCAACTTACTGTTGCTTCCCTGGTTTCAAATATCTCACTGGCCTCCTCAAAGTCACAGAGCTCTTCAACACACTCACGCTCCACAGAGCCTGGCTTGAGCTCCTCCAGGAAACTGTTTGCCCGCTTCTGGATTCTCAGGACTTGATTTGCATCTTTACTGCTGTAAAATACTGCAAGCAAAAAGGGGAAAATGCAAGCAGAGAAAAGAGCTGGCTGAAAACTGGTAGTAGTGCTTCCCAAAAGACACAAATGAGAGCCATAGCCCCTCTCCAGCACAGCAAGAAAGGCTGCCTTAGACACTATGTGCTGTCTGTGCTGTGCTGCAGAAGCAAGTGCCAGCCTGTCCTGTGCTGCTCTGAAGGCTCGTGGGGCTCAGTAGGGCCTCTGAGCAGGCAGCTGCCATGGTCCCAGCACTGCCTGTCAACCTCTACTAAAGGGAGTCAAAACCGCCTAATAGGAATGATTCCAGCCACTACCTCTGACTGACAGAGGAGCAGGAAACRCACTTGCAGTGACTGGGAAAGGGTGAAAGCCATCTCTCAAAAGAACACTTACTTGAGGAGCCACAGCCTTGTGAAAAGCAGGCAGCCAGCAGCAGCCCCGCGGTGAGGAGCTTCCACATCCTGTGCAGGGATCACCTGAGGAGGAGAAGGCAGTTGACAAGAGAAGCACATTGCAGAGTGACACAAGACCCTGCTGCAGACAGTTCCAATCCATCCAGCTCAGCCAGCTCTCTCACTTGCTTTCCACAAAGCAGCTTCCCTGCTGAATGCTCTGCTRTGCTCTGTCTCTGACTCCAGCTCTGGAATGGCCGTTCACTAGAGTCCCTCCAGAATGGTTTCCTCGTTCACTTTAACACATCAGCAGCTCTACCAGAACACTTCTGGTCTGTCCTGACAACCTCCCCTTATCACTGGACATTTTTGACAAGCTTAGTGGTCCATTAAAGCAAGCTATACTTGGAAATCTCAAAGGATACAATACTTTTGAAGCACTTACTGCTTTATTCAGTGGGAATCAGTGTGATCTGTTCTTCCTCCATGAGCTCTGTTGGAAGTTAGTTAATCCATAACTTGATATTTACTCTTTGGAGTGACATGAAGTGCTTTCTTCTTAGTTGTTAAACAAACTTGCTCAGGGAGACTATTTACYTGCATACAGGGGAAAAGTGAAACAGCTGAGGCACCTACTCTGCCTTTATCAATTTTTTTTTCCCTTCTGATTCTCTGGTGAGAAGAAATGGTTATATATAGTTTGAAAGTGTATTTCCCAGTGTGAGGTCTCTTGAGAGACCCTGCCCTCTTGTCACAGTACACAATCACCCAAAAGGGGCACACATATACAATCTTTAAGAGTCCTCCCACTTCACTCTCTCATCAAAGCTTCCACCACAAAATAGCCATGGGGACTAACCCTCCTGACAGCCATGAGCAGGTACCAGGTGTTTGTACCAGCATGTGGCAACTTCTGGTGCCTGGAACTAGCTGTCATCAGAACAAAGTATTCTATTGAATCCTGAACACTAAATATCAGAAAAAAACGCCTAATCCTTTCCAGAAGTTTTCTTGCATCAAAGGTGGTAGAAACCAGTGTGTCCCAGTTCTCTGAGAACAGTGTGTGCAGTGGCATCTCTGTGAGCTGTGCAGCAGAATTCCAGAATCATTCATGTTGGAAAAGACCTCCGAGACCATTGAGTCCAACCTGTGACCAATCTCCACCTTGTCACTAGCACAGAACACTGAGTGCCACATCCAGTCATTCCTTGAACATGTTGTTAGAGGTTAGGGTTTCTCCTTTTGTTTTCCGTCTTGAGGAATTTGTTTCCCATTTTGTTGCTAACAGACAGCAATGGGCGGGTCATTACCTTAATGACTAGGTGCTCCGGAAGAAGTTTCCAAGCCCTGGGGGGTAAGAAGGACTCCATGAGGCATTCCTTCTACCTGACAGTTTTTTTCTCTCTGTGGAGTGCACACTTCCCGCAAGAGTTCCGACTCGGTGAAAAGGTGGGGGGACGTGCGGTAAGGGCATGGGGGGGGAGGGGGACGGGGGTGCGTAGCTCACTTCTTGTCCTGCTTGTCTTGGGGGAGGCCGGTGCACCTCCTGCCTTCCGGGGAGAGCTCGCCACGGTAGGTTCGTGCTTKCTAGCTACACTGTGGGCTTCTGCTCTCCCGCTTTGCCGGGACCTCTGTGATTCCAGCTACAGTGGTCGAGTTCTGACACACCTCGTCTACAGCGACAGGATTCTGCTCGTCTCTGCCCATCTGGCTGTTCGGAGGTTCCTGCTACAGCTGCTCTTGCTGTCCAGAGGAGGCACCAGGATCGGCTTTCCCCGTGAGTTCGTAAAGGAACTTTTCTCCATCCATCGCTGCCACTGTGCCCACCATTGGCCATGTGAGAGCTGAAACCAGCCGGGATCTGCGCCACAGCGCCCCCTGCAGCCGTGGGGGAATCATCGCACCCGCCCTGCCCGGCCGGGAGCCAACAGCGCCCCTGCCGRCTGGGACTGGAACTGCACCGAAGGGGAGGGTGTGCGGCAGCCCAGAGTAGGCTGTGGTTGGGTTGGTTGTTGCTATTGTTGTTGTTCCGTGTTTTACCTTGTTATACCAACTAGAAAAACTGTTATTCCCTTTTTTCCCCATATCTTTGCCTGAAAGCCCCGTGATTTCAAAGTTATAATAATTCAGAGGAAAGAAAAGTCATATTCACCACTCCCCAAAAAAATCTGTGCCTTCACTGGCAAACGCCTGCCTTTCAAACCAAGACACACATCCAGGGATCTACCTGGACAGCCCCTTCTGATGCCTGATCACCCTTTCCGGTAAGAAATTCTTCCTGATGTTGAAGATATGGCATCTTCATGCAAATTACCTGTGCATGTCCCAGGARCATGCCACCAGAGGTTAGGGAAAGATAGGCCACGCCTGGATCTCAGCTCACATCCTGTGACAGCTGATTAGGAGAACCCTGACTGCTTATAAACCTTCTATTTCCTTTTTCCCTCATAAACTTGRCCATGGACTTTCTTAAAAACAAGTTCTCTTTAAACAAAGTCCATCAATTTGGGACTTCAGCTAAAAAATTTGCTGCATCCATATTCCATCTAGGGAAGATGTGTGCACTGCAAAGCTCTACTGGTATGTTCTTTTATCCTCACTTCAGCTGTTCAACAAGAAAACTTCAGCTGAGATTAATGTTAACAGAATTTTGCTACAAGTTAAGTTTATGAAACACACCTGAAGACTGGAAACATAAAATAGAAAACCTAAATAGAAACATGGGTAGTACACTGTATTACAAGTATTACATTTGTAGCTGACCTGGCTATTTGCTACCATGTAGGTTATGTGGTTTTGAATAMATGTCTGTTTCTGAGATTCGGTATAGTTTTAGAAATAAGATTGGAAATTCAGGACATGCACACCAACTGCCAGCTTCCAAACCAATATGTCAGCCTCCTAAACACTTCTCTGTTTTTTCCTAACCCCTGAACTGATGCCCAGTTAGAATTAGCTTACTTCTTCATCCCCCTTCCCCCCCCCCTTGTTTTGAGGGCTTTATTTTCCTGTTTTCTCCTGCCACTGTGGTGARTAAGTATTTTAAATGCCAGCACTTGGGCTCTCAGGTGATCTTATGACTGCAGGCACAGTGGATTGAAGAAAAGATGCTCCAGGGTATTTCAAATTTTGCATGCCAGGGACTCATTTCAGTCTAAAAAAATCACASTGCTGGGCTCACTGCTGTCTAGTTCACCTTCCTTTTAAAAAACAGGGATTTTTCTAAGGAGGGCTAGAAGAGGCTTAAGAGAAGAAAGGAGAAACCTCACAAGAGAATGCCAAGGCAGAAGTTCCACAAATTTAAATTAACACTGTGGAGACTTCTGATTCAGTGTGTTATGAATGGCACTAATAATCAAAATCCTCCTTGAAGTAAAAAAGCATCATACATGTTTCAAATTTCACAGCTGAATGATATTCCCCCTTACAGCTTGAAGGGACAGAGCACACCAGAGTGTTTACACACTCCTGTGGGTAAAGAAAGCCAAAAGCTTTAGCTTTGCCTTTTCTACAGGAAAACCTTTGGCAAATTCTCAAATGTCTTCTCAGCCTTTAGYCTCTTAGCCAGGAACACCATATTACTCCTCTCAAATTTTTCTAAATTGAAATTAAAAACATAGATTTCTGCAAATTAAATACAGACAGATGTAAATTTTAATAGAGAAGGAAATGGAAATGGCAAAAAGTATCACAAAAATCAAAACTCACAGCCCTTCAACAGTCATCCTGTGCTACATCCATCAGTGCTTCCTATTTCATAGCTTTKAAGTTGCAACAAATCTGAACAATTCATTGAGCAATGAAGACACTAAGCCTACGTCCTACATGCACACTGGAGCCTCTACCCCCCAGAGCTCTACCAGTCTCCCTCTCATCCCAAGTCCTGATTTCTTGCAAGACTTGCAGAAACATAGTGTTCTGTAAACTGTCTGAAATGAGACAGCAATTCCAAACAGGAATTACAYAGGGAAAGACAGACTGCTCCTGCTTCCCTAGGAAACCCAAGCTGAAGTATCCATCTCCTCAGACTGCTTTTCTTTAAAGAAAAGGTCCTTGGAGCACAAGGCTTTGCTGAGTTCAGAGGAGCACTGGAACATGTGCCAAAAAGGCAAGAATACCTCTCCATGGAGTGCCTATGTGCTGCTGGGAAGTGCTGCTKTGAATCCAGTTTGCAGCCTGGGAACAAGGGGAATTCAACAACCGGTGCAGATRTCAAGCTCCTCCGAGTTTGTTACTWCMTGGGCTGGGATCTGCTCACATCTATGAGTGCAGCTGGGGYTGCAGCTCTGCACAGCCTCTGCCAAGAGAGAGACCACTCCTCTCACTCCAACTCCTCCCCTGGAAGAGCAAATCAAACTGCTCATGGAGGAGGACACAAAGGCTGGGGCCACCCCTGCAGTGCTCCCAGGAATAAATGCCATTGACCACAACTGACTTGCATTTTACCATGAAGTCAACCAAAGGGGTCTTCTAGGTCATATGCAAACTGCCCCAGCTCTTCCTTTCTGTGAACTACGCCCCCCCCCATCACTGGGTATGTTAGCAAAATGCTGGAACTCTCCAGACAGCTTTTGCTGGAGAACTGCCATGACTCCTTTAGCTGTTATCAACATGGAATGTCACTTTGGAGTTTAAGGACTTTTTCATTCTGCCCACWTGAGGTCATAAGATCACCTGAGAGCCCAAGTGCTCGTGGCATTTAAAATACTTCTTCACCATAGTGGCAGGAGAAAACAGGAAAATAAAGCCCTCAAAACAAGAGGGGTGATGAAGAAGTAAGTTAATTCTAACTGGGCATCAGTTCAGGGGTTAGGAAAAAAAAGGGAAGTATTTAGGAAGCTGACATAYTGGTTTGGAGGTTGGCAGTTGGTGTGCATGTCCTGAATTTCCAATCTTATTTCTAAAACTATACCGAATCTCAGAAACAGACATGTATTCAAAACCACATAACCTACATGGTAGCAAATAGCCAGKTCAGCTACAAATGTGATACATGTAATACAGGGTACATGTAATACAAGTTGTTTCAGGCCCAGCTAGGGCGTCCATAGTTATTCATACTCTTTTATTTAAACTCATTGGTAGAGATCTTCACAGCACACCTCCCTCCCAACCCAATCTMTCCTCTGGAGATCCATTAGGTATCAAACCAAGAGGATGGCAGCTCTGAGAAGGAGGTCTGACATTCAGTAATGRCACACTGAGTGAGGCAGTGAGTGTTTTGCTATTGGCTTCTACCACGTTATTTAAAAAAAGACTAAAATTAATTAACCTGTATCAGAGGAGTAAGAATACCTTCTATCTCTGCTGTTGCTTTCTTTGCAGGTTTTCAGTAGTGCCACATAAAGCAGAGCCTGACATTCAGACTCTGATGCATGTGTAAGTAAACAAAGTAATCTTTCTTTTCTCTTTATTCTGGCTCCACATAACTAACATTGTAATGATCAATTTTACCATTTTCATCATCCAAGAGTAYATAACATTAGTATGATGCTCCTGTTCCATACACTATTCTCTCCACACTTCTGTTTAATTATCAAGTACAAAGGTGTTTTTCACGTAGAGAATACAC